GGGGGGGCAGGAGGAGGAGATCATTTTACAGTGCAGAAATCCAGCAACGGCTATCTCAGTCGTGTGTTCACGGTTACTACCATCAGTGGTAAGGCATATGGGAGTATGTACTATTTTTTAAAGTATATCTATGTATATAACTTTTTATTGTGAACTAAGTGAAGGTTTACAGAGCAGATAATCAGGTTTACATTCATCAGTTGATTCATAGTTTCTTCACCGCAGTCATAACAATCTCCTCAATGTAAGATTGCTTACCCCATTTCCTGTTTCCTGTTTCCAGTCCTCCTTTCCTCACCCTTCCAACTTTGTCTTTGGATAATGTTACCCTCTTGTCCCAACTATTTGATTATTCTTAGGTAGAATTGTTCTACTTATGGACATGTTGTTTGACTAAAAATTGAGCCATGGTGGTAAGCTCATTTCCAAACCTGAATGATGACTAAGAGTCAGAGTTTTGGGGGTTCAAACATTGTCAATTCAATCAGTAAACCTGGTCTTTTGGATGATTTTTAGTTTTATTCTATCCCTTTCTACCACTCTGTTCAGGACCTTATCATGTGATCCCTTTTAGAACAGTTGGTAGTAGTAATCTGATAATACCTAGTTCGACCATTTGAACATCAATTATATTCTTGTCTCTTCAATTTTCATTTTATTTCACTTCCATTTCCTCTGGATAAGGAGAGACCAGTAGTCACACCATAGATGGCCACTCTCCATCTTTAAAGACCCCGGTTGCTACTCAAGTAGAATGTAAAATATTGTTAGTGAATGATGTCATGTAAATTAACCTGATGGCCCCAGGATTATAGTCCTGAGACCCCAGACCCAGAAACTAATTTCTTCAAGATGCTTGGCTATGTCTAAGTTTTTATAACTTTCCCCCCGGTAGGACCATGTACTCTTGATATAGTGGGACAATAATGGCATTTCTTTGTAGTCCTTCTCCAAACAACCCAATAAATCCAATTTAACCATGAGAAAGATATCAGACAAACAAAATGGAAAGATAGTCTGCAGAATGCTACTCTACAAAACAAGAAAAACAAACTAAACCCATTGCCATTGAGTTGATTCTGACACATAGTGATCCTATACAGAATTTCCAAGGCTGTAGTCTTTATGAGAGCAGATAGACTCGTCTTTCTCCCATTGAGCCACTGATAGATTTGAACTACTGGCCTTGTGATTAGCAGTCTAATACTTATCCAGCGGTGCCACTGAAGATTCTAACCTACTTTTATCGATGATAGTTGCCATAGAGTTGGTTTCTCTTCATAGTGACACTATTTAAAACAGAATGAAACTCTATCTAATTGTACCTAATTGTTATGTTTGAGTACATTGTTGCAGACACTAGGTCAGTCTGACTCCTTGAGCCTTTTCTTTACCATGACTCATGTCCTTTTCCAGGAACTGGTCTCTCCTGACAACATTTCCCAAGTGTGTGAGATGAAGTCTCACCATTCTTTCTTCTAACGAGCATTCTGGCTATACTTTTTCCTAGACAGATTTGTCTGTTCTTCTGGTAGTCCATGGTACTTTCAAGTTCTTTTCCAACATCACCATTTAAATCACCAAATCTTCTGTGATCTTCTTTATTCATTATCCAACTTTCACATATGGGTCAATTAAAAATAATGGCTTGAGTCAAGTACACCTTAGTCTTCAAATTGACACCCTTGCTCTTTCACACTGTGAAGAGGTCTCGTGCAGCACACCTGCTGTATGTTATCTGGTCTCTTGACTGCTGATTCTGTGAGCAGTGATTGTGGGTCCAAGCAAAATGACAGTCTTCAGCAATTTCAATATTTTCTGTGTCATGATGTTGGCTTTTGATTCAGTTATGAAGAGTTTGTTTTTTTTTACACTGTTGCAATCCATACGGAAGATTTTCATCAGAAAATGCTTTAAATTCTTCTTGCTTTCAATAAGTAAGGTTGTGTAATTTGAATATTGCAGGTTCTAATAAGTCTCCCTCTAACCCAATTTTTCATATTGTCCAGTTTCTTGGATTATTTTCTCAAAGTACAGAATGAAAAGTATGGTGAACAGATACTACCTTGATATACAACTTTCTTGTTTTTATGGCATGAAAATCCCTGGTGAAATAGTAGTGATGTTTTGGGGCACTAACTGCAAGGTTGGCAGTTTGAAACCACCAGTGCATCCTCAGGTAAAAGGTGGGGCTTTCTATTCCCATAAAGAGTTACAGTTTCAAAAACTCAGGGTCACTATGGGTCAGTAGTCCGAGCCTCTGCATACCCTTCAAAACTGTTAAATTCATGAGAACAAGGGAATTTTCCCTGTCCCTATCTATTGGAGGCTAAGCTGACATGATAACTAAATGAAAACAAAAAAAATAACTCAGATGGATTCTGGAACAAAAAGGAGATATTAAGGAAAAGTTCTACAATCTGAACAAAATATGAACTTTCCGTTAATATTAATGTATCATGTTGGTTTATTATTAGTGAAAAATATATCATGATAATGTCAAATGTTAACATAGGTAAATGGAGTTTAAGGTATGTAGGAATTTTTGGTACTAACACATTTTCTGAAAATATTTACTATTTATTCTCAATAAGAAACTTAATTAAAAATTTGCAATCCACTTGGCCTACACAAGTAGATTTAACACGTTAGTCCTCCCTCTATACATTTTATGAGCACTAACCTATAGGTTATAACTTACTAACTCTTCTTTACTATCTCTTCTTTACCATTAATAAGAAAATGTTTTTACTCAGTGATAGTAGGGTAAAATGTGTGTATCTGTGTATAATTAAACAGATAGAACTTTATGTTGTTATAATCATATACAGGGAGGAATGAGATCACTTTCTTAAAATTGAATTTTAAATTTGCTGTACAGGAATTACAGATAAATGTTAGCTACTACTAACAAATGTGCGTAATTATAAAACATGTTTAATAAAACAGGGAGTGTCTGTGGGTGGAAAAATGAGCTATGAGCTTTGGGAACAACAATCGTGTCTTCATATTTTATTTCCCAAATAAGATTTACTTCTTATTTTATAAATATAATGATAAATTAAGTTGTTATGAAGCAACTGAACAGAGGAGAGACTTATCAAACTAGCATCTTGAATAATTAATATCCAAAATATGCATTCTTATTCTTAATTCAGAAACTATGTTGTGAAATAAATGTACCACATGCATATCCATAATAGATACTTTAAAATTTCCCACGAGAATGATGAGGGTGGACATTGGGGACAGGGTGTGCTGCCCCACAGGCTGGACTAGAAAACACTCTTGAAGGCCAGCGATCCTTGAGCTAACTACAAGCTTTTCTTTCTTGGTATATTTTAATGTGTTCTTTGAAAAAAAAATTTCCCACAAAATTGATTTTATGATATTAATATTTTCCTTTTGGTAACAGTTGTTTGAATTAAAAAAAAAACTCAGTTCATCTAAAAGATTATTATTTTTGACATTTTATAATAAATAATTAAGCATTATATTTTATTTAAAATGCTATTTAGGAAATAACTTATATGTTTGTATTTTATTATTTAGATATCTGGACTGGAAGCAACATTAAGACACATGGAAACTGGGCATAATTCTATTGTTCCTGAAATTAACGGTAAAACTAAAATGTGATAAAGTTCTAACATTTGAGTGATATTTTAAAATGATTAAGTGGTTGTTATTATTATTGATATTAATTGCCATCGAGGCAGTTCCAACTAATGACCTAATAAGTACGTACAACAGAATGAAACACTTCCCACTTCTGGGCTTCCTCACAATTGTTTGGACTGAGCCCCTGTTGCCTCTGTGTCAGTTCACGTCACGGGCTTCTCATTTCTCCTGACCCTCTGTGCCAGCCATGCTGTCGTTTTTGAGGAACTGATCTGTCTTGATAACATACTCAAGGTGCATGAGATGAAGGCTCCGCAGTCCTGTTTCTAAGGAGCATCCTGGCTTACCTTTATCAAGACAGATTTGTTTGTTCTTCAACAGCCAAAATTATTGTCTGCCAACACCATAATTCAAAAGTCTGAATTCCTTTGTAACCTTTCTTATTTATTGTCCAACTTTTACCTGCATATGAAGTGCTTGGAAATACCGTGACAAAGGTTAGGCAAGTAGTAGTAGAGTAACTTTATCATAAATGAAAATCTTAATGAAAACGTTGATAAATATACATATAATCATGTATGATACTGTACATTATTTACTCTGTGTATTGTACACTCTAAAATGAGAAAAAATATGTATCAGCGAAGACTTCGGCTTCTTGTTATAATGGAATACCTTGTATCAGATTAACATAAATAACTCTAAAACTTGACTATTTAAATAAGGGAAGCATATATACATATACGTACACATCTACATATACATGCAACATGTATAAATACAAAACATATATGTAAACATTTTAAAATCATAGAAATATTTTTAAACAAACATCAAAATTTGAATGTACTGTTTCTTGACCTTTTCTTCCATCTGTTTAGTCCTTCCCTAAAGAATTTCTGTTTTGACATCTGCAAGTAACTCAAATCATGCTCCTATGAGATATTCCTTACGTATTAGGACAGAAAGGTATTTGAAGGGGAAAGATATGGGCTCTAAGGTAGATGGCATAGGATTTTCCAGTGAAAATCTCAGAGGGCAGCCTTGCTCCTCTTGAAGAATGTGTAGGTGCATTATCTTGATGGGAGAAAAAAATTAGGATACAACTTTCCTGCCTTTATCTCACCAGTACAGCTTTCAGTGTTCTTAAAATATATTCTTAATAATATCCCTGGATTCTCTCACATCTTTCAAGAAAGTCTATCAAGACAAACCCTTTGGAATCCCCAAAATAGTCACCTTCTGAGCTCACCTCTCTCCCTTGAATTTAAATGGTTAAATAGATCCATTTGGAAGCCACCATTTTGATTGGACCCTAATAATACTGCTGTTGTTGGTACAAATGAGTCCATTCTGACAACAGAAGGAGACACTGTCCAGTCCTGTTCCACTGTCACAATTGTTTTTGTGTTTGGTTCCATTGTGCAGCTACTGTGTCAATCCATCTTGTCCATGGTCTTCCCCTCTTTTGCTGACCTTCTACTTCACTTAGCATGATGTAAGAAAGAGGACTTCAGTCATACACAGAGGCATTTTTAACCTATATTGCTTAGAATCCATGTATGTGTGAATTGGAGGCCTGGTAGCTATACATATACATACACACACACAAATTCAAAATATTTTGGGAGAATTATATTATCTTTTAAATATATTTTCCAGTAACTTTTAAAGCCCCGTGTGTGTGTATGTGTAAACAACCTGTGATATGCAGATAACACAACCTTGTTTGCTGAAAGTGAGGAGGACTTGAAGCACTTACTGATACAACATATCAAGCTTTACAGCCTTTAATGTGAATTGAAACTCAATGTAGAGATGACCCAAATCCTCACAACTGGACCAATAAATAACATCATGATATATGGAGAAAAGGTCAAAGTGTTCAAGGATTTCATCTTGTTTTGATCAATAATCAATGCTTGTAGAAGCAGCACTCAAAAAACCAAATGAAGCATTGCATTGCATAAGTCTGCTGCACAAGAACTCTTTTAAACCTCACAAAACAAAGATTTTACTGTGAGGACTAAGGTGTGCCTGACCCAACCCATGATATTTGCCATTGCCTGCTCTGCATGTGAAAGTTGGACATAGACCAGCCCCTGGAGAAGGACATCATGGTTGGTAAAGTAGAGGGGCATAAAAAAAATCCAGACAGGTTTTTCTCATTATCTTTTCTGTATTATAAATGTCACATTTACAATACTCTCTTATTTAATTAATGCTTTCATGATTATAATATTAGCAGTTACTTGAAATCAATTTACTTTTTAAATCAAAAATAAGGAAACTTGTTTTCTGAGAAGATTCCTTTAGGAATATTTGCTCAGTTTACAGATTGAGTACGTGTGATGAAAGGAACCACACATCCTTTCCTCATTCTGTTTGAATGACTGCCTCTTGGTCCATGTACAGGTTCTATATCAGCCATGATACATTGGAAGACAAATATTAGAACTTTATTAAATACAACACTCTCTTTCTCCTTCCTGTTATTCTTCACATTAGGAGGAATTGAAAATAGTTCCTTTATTAACACAGTATTCTCTTTTTAAAGCTCTTATCTGCTTTCACTTAGGAACTTTTGTCATTGTTCTCTAAATGATAGTTTTTACTTTGGTCTTCTTCAATTTCATTCATAAACTTTGAAAACTCATGATAATAGGAATTTGGATAGAATACAATTGAAGATTGGCTGGCCATGTCATTTATTAACCATGCAGTAATGCCATCCTACATTTATAAAAAAAGTTTTGTTGGCACTTCTTCCATATATCATACAATTCAATAGTTTAATCACATCCAGAAGAGTTGTACAATCATTAGCACAATCAATTTCAGGACATTTTCTTCTTCCTTGTATTCATTATTAGTGTAATTTATTTTTTTTAATCTCTGGAAAAAATATACACATCAAAATATTCTCCAATTCAACAGCTTCTACATGTATAATTCAGTATCATTGATTATAACGTAATGTACAACCATTGCCGCTATCCTTTTCCAAATTATTCCACCACCAATAACATAAACTCAGTGTACCTAAGCAAAAATCTTCCTTCTTCACCCATGGTAAGCATTGTCAATATCAGTTTCTTTTAGTTGTTTTCTTGATGTAAAATGCACACATTATACACTTTCATTGTTAAGTCACTTGGCCTCACGTAGAAAGCAAATGTTTTGAGAATGATGATGGCAACAAATGTACAAATGTGCTTGACACAGTGGATGTATGTATGAATTGTGATAAGAATTGCACGAGTCCCCCATAAAATGATTAAAAAAAAAAGCAGTCTGGGAAAAGAAAAGAGTTGAATATACATGAGTATATACAATTCATTCTAGTCGTCCCTTCCCCTCCCACATTCATTGTTTGCTACCCAATTCCCCTCCCCCTCCTACCCCATCCTCAAGAAACCGTTTCATCCGTTATTGTCTCTATGCATCTACTTCTTCTGTGCCTCATAGACTGCAAAGCCTAACATAAACAATAAACAACAACAACAAAACAGAAAGAAGAAAATAATATAAAGATAAAAATAAAAATAAAGAGTAAGAAAGAAAACCAACAATACTGAAAAAGCCAGAGAAGAAATTTCTGTCATGGAGCAAGATATATTTAAGCCTAGAGAAAATTAATGTAGGCCGAGGGAGGTCAACTGATGAAGTATCATATTATACCATGATTTGATCCACCATAACAAGGGTACAATAATCTCTGATAGTAAAGATGTTAGAGTCCCTCACCTGAGGTCAGAAGAGATCTGCCAGAGGCTTAATCTGGCAAGTTACTCTGCAGATGAATTTTGTGCTTCCACTGCTCTTCTTAGCCATCTACAAATTGGGTGTTCACAATTTAAACTTTGATACCATTCCGTGTATCATAATTGGATTTTATTATTGTCGTTTTTGGATCACACAGACTGGTGTGCTTCTTTGACATGGACTTAGTTGACACCTCACTTAGACGACTGCTTGTTTGAATACAAGCCTTTAAGACACAAACGACTATTCCAGTTGAAAGCGGGGCACCATCTGCTCTTCACCACACTCTGCTGTAGTACCCTTATCTTCAGTGATCTCTTCGTGAAGGTGAGGGTAGAGGAAGGCCATGCTATAAGAACTAAGTATTCTTGGATGGGGATAGAAGTGGGAGTCCAGAATCCAGCTGCTTGTCTATGGGTTATATACAACTTGGGTTTACTTTGGCAGTCATATTATGACATAAACAAAATTGAACAACAATGAAAACAAAAACACATGGACAAATGAAAAAAACAAAACAAACAAAAAGGAAACCATTGTCAATCATCCCTTTGGGGTATAAGATATTGCACTGATAACATAAATAATGTTTCCAACGTCATAATTTAAGATCTTGTTAATTGAGTTTATGTACATGTAAAGTGTGAGCTGCAATCCATGAGTTGGTGCTTTGTACACATTGATTTCTTAATGAACTGAGCTCTGTCCATTGAGCATGGAGGTTGGTGCTAGGGAAAAATTTATTGTAATAGTTGTTTCAAGGGTAGATCCTTGCCTGTCAGATTAATACCTGTCATATTAATGTGAAGGGAACACTTATGTGCTAAATATATGGTAGTTCTGTATACCCTTTCATTAAATACTCACTAAGCCACGGGTCCCATCCAAGGTCCAATGACTGCCATTTCCATGGTCTTGGGGTGGCCATCCTTTGCTTCCTTTCCCATCAGGATATTTAAGTCCTAAGTCCAAGGGCTACAGGTAGTTTTGAGGCCCAGTTCACCCACTCTGGCTTCCATGTATTGTCCTCCTGGTGTGGCCTTTGGGGGATGCCATGATCCCAGAAAGGCCAGCATCTAAGGTTATACTAATGCTTATTCCATGGCACCGTTCACTGAGGGTAGGGTAGAAACGTATTCAAAGTGACTACCCAGGAACACAAAACTGGTTTTGTTCTCCCGTTAGGTTCCCTACAATTATTGTTTAGCATCCCTTCCCCACATGAGGTTGCTCCTCTCCATTTACCCACTCAATTCACTGACAGAAACATAAGTACCTCCTCTGAAATGTAGATGCTCCACCGCCCCCCCCACAATTTGTTAACTTGATTTTCCAGTAATGTTCTCCACTCATTCCTGTGGAGGACCTATTGCTTTGTGCAGCCTTGTCTCAATGATGCATAGCATCAAATGGATCATCACCTCCCTTTTCCTTCTTCTTGAAGGAGTGACCCCGCCCAATGTAAGGTCTCCTCTTTTAAAGTGGTTGTTATGAAGGGCACATAAGGAAGGTGATGTATGGGTCATGACCAGTAGCTATCGTTTTACCCCTTTGTTTGGGATTTGGTTCCAAAGATTTGCTTACTTGGTATTTCTCCTTATCGTGGACTCATACAGTATTTGTCCTTTTGTGCTTGACTAACTTTATTGGTGTCCAGGTCCTTTCATGTCATGTAGTGTTTCATGCTTCCATCACTGTTTTTTTTAGGGTTGCACAGTATTCCATTGTATTTATATGCCATAGTTTTTTTTATCCATCCTTTCAATGTGGGATATTTTGGCCTCTTCCAGTTTCTTGCTATTGTGAACTGTGCTGTCATAAACATGGGACAGCATACATCCACTCATGGTGTGCCTCATTTCTTTTACCACTATATGCCTATATTTCTTTTACCACTATATTCCTTATTTCAGTACCACTATATGCTTAATAGTGGTATTGCTGGATCATATGGAATTTCAATTCCTTGTTGCTATGAATATCACCATATAGTTTTCCGTAGTGGTTGTATGCTCACCAACAGTGTATATGAGTTCCATTCTTTCCACATGTTCTCCAGCATTTGTTGTTTTCTGCTTTCCTGAATTGGGATAGCATTGTAGATGTAAGATGGTATCTCATTGTGGTTTTAATTTACATTTCCCGGATGGCTAGTGATTGTGAGCATTTTTTCATGTTTTTGTTAGACATCTGTACTTAATAGTTGTTGAACTGTCTGTTCATGTCATTTTCCCACTTCTTTGTTGGCTCATTTGTAATTATTGAGCTGTTGTAGAGTTCTGCATGTTTTGGTAATTATGCTCTTATCCAATGGGCTATTGGTAACTTTTTTTTCTCCCAATCTTCAGACTCTTGTCTTACTCTTCTGATGAAGTCTTCTGATGTGCATAAATGATGTAATTTCAGCATGTCCCATCATCTCTCTTGTCTTCCACAGTGTGTTCCTCCTTCATTATCCTTGGTATATGCCCTGCCAATGGACCCTTACGTTTGTCTGTTTCTCATTGATGATCCTGATAGCTCTTGGGTTTACAGTGAGGTATTTAATCCATCCTGAGTTTGTTTTTATGCATGGGGAGAGATATAGGTCTTGTTTCATTCTTCTGCACATGGAAATCCAGTTTAAGGACAGTGGTTGAAGAGGTTGTCCTCCCATTGGATGTTTCTAGGTCCTTTGTCAAAGATTAATTGCCTGTAGGCTGATGCATTTATGTGTGGGTTTTCTGTTCTTTTCTATTGGTTTATATATTTATCACTGTACCAGTGCCAGGTTGTTTTTGACTACTGTGGCTATGTAGTAGGTTTTTAGGTCTGGTAGTGTAAGGCTTCTTACTTGGTTTTTCTTTTTAAGAGGTTCTTTGTTTATCCTGGGTCTTTTGCCTACCCATATGAATTTAGTAATTAGTTTCACCATTTCTTTAAAAAATGTGTTTGGAATTTGAAGTGGGCTTTCATTGTGTCTATAGATTGATTTAGGTAATATTGATATTGTCACAATATTGTCTGACTATCCATGAATGATGGTTCTTTTTCTATTTATATAGGTCTTTTTTTGTTTCTTATAGTAATGTTCTGTAGTTTTCTCTATATAGGTCTTTTGTTTCTTAAGTTAGGTTTATTCCTATGTATTTCATTTTCTGTGTGGTTACCATAAATGTTTTTTTTTTCTTAATGTCTTTTTTGTAGGTCTTTTTGCTGATATACAGCTATTCAGTTGATTTCTGGTTTTTGATTTTGTATACTGCAACTTTGCTGAATCTCTCAATTGTTGCCAGTAGGCTTTTGGGCTTTCTATATATATAGGATCATATCATCTGCCAATATGTTTCACTTCTTTGCCTATTTGTATTTCCTTGGTTTCTTTTGTGGTCTGAGGGTTCTAGCCAAGACTTCCAGCACAATATAGCCTAAGAGTGGTAATAGGAGACATCCTTGCTTGGTTCCTATTTTCTGTGGAAATGTTTCTAGTTTTTCCCCATTGAGTGTGTCGTTCACTGTTGGTTTTCCATATACAGCTTTTATTATGTAGAGAAATTTCCCTTCAAATCCTATTTTATTGAGTGCCATTATACATTTTGCAGGGACTGAGCTCTGAGACTGCACCTACAGCATTTTTGTGTGACTCTAATATTATTAACTTAATTCCTTTAATATTTCATTTATTAGTATGACTTCAATGTACAGTTTTTATTCATAGTTATTTTTCTTACAGAAAAATGTCACAGGTCTATTATTAAGACTAAAATGCATTGTCTTTCAGTTTATCATAGTTGTGAACATTTACTTGAAGGCCCTACTCAGAAATGTCTTCGTGAAGCCAGGGAACAAAGCAAAATTAAAATAAGCATGAAAAAAAATGCAAAGGTATGTCATTTATTTTTATTTTCCACAAATATGTATTTAAGTCTCAAGAACTCTAGGAATCATATGGTATCATATTTTCCATATCAGTGAAAGAATTTAGAGATTATGTATTCCAACCTTCTCATTTTATGAATAGAAAACAGAGGCGGCCAAATATCACTGCTAAAGACCTAACTCAGAAACACAGGCGTCATGGGCAGAGGCAATGCGGGGCCCACTCTGCCGTTTTCCTCAATAAAGGCATGGCCAGGTTGTACTCGTTTGCTCAGCTCTCTGCTCACACTAATCTCTATTCCAAAGAAATCAGTCCATGTCATTTTTTCTTATAGTATAGAACTTCGAACTTTTCATCTTCTTTAGAAAAAATACATTATACCCCACTTCATATTGTTATAGATAAATAGTTTTGCTTCATAATTAGACTGAAAGTCAAAATCTTCTTCAATGATTACCAAACCCCAAACCAAACTCACTGCCATCAAATTGTTTCTGACTCATTGTGACTTCTCTATGTGGAGTTCTGAGAGTGTAATTTTTTATGGGAGCAGAAAGCCTTGTCTTTTTCCTGCAGAACAGCTGTTGAATTTGAATTGCTGAACTTGCAGTCACTTATCTGATGCCTAACCATTGTGCCACTGGGACTCTGGCCTGCAGTGACCAATAAAATGCTATTATACACATCTGGTCAGACAAATATATTTAAAAAGTGAAGAAAAAGAAAGAAAACTGCATGAAACTTGTGAGGTATTTAGTTTCTTGTTATGAAAAGTGCATAAAAGTCTAGATGGGTAATGGATTTTCTTACATGGTAATTGCTACTTTAGAGTTTTAAAATAGCTGTCATTTAAAGCCAATTAACAATTATAATGGTGTTTTATACAATAGATTTTTTATGAATGCAAATTTTACTCAGCTAATATCAATAATGGGAGAAGGGCTGATCTTTCTATCCCCTTAAAGAGTTACAATCTCCAGCACCCGCAGAGGCAGCTCTACCCTGTCCTATAGAGTTGCTATGAGTCAGAATTGACTTGATGGCAATGAGTTTTGTGTTTATTACCATTAACATTTTTTTTTTCTGAAAATGTGTGTTCTGGACTCTGGTCAACATACTTGAAATTTCAGATGAAGGTTAACTGCTCTGAGTCTTGCTAAGGCTTTGAAAATAGTAAAATCTTGTGTTATTTTCCGATCAGTATTTTACTGGTTATTATTGCTGTGAAGAACTTATTGTAGTTGAGACGGATGCATGTCAGAATTAAATGTTGGTGGTGATCACGATGATTTTCATCAGGAGTAGTTCCATCTTTTAATTGCATAGTGATCCACTTCACATAGGGAATCATGTTTAGAAATGATTTTTTGATTAGTTCACTAAGTTCTCAGGGATCCTAGGATTCTACATCAGTAATGCAAGGTTAAACTTTTATGTGATAAAAAATCTACCAAAACATCAGACAAATATAGTATACATTTCAGTATATAGCATATTCTCTTTTGGTGTTGCATTAGAACATCTAACATAATACCTACAACAATACTGAAATATTCAGGTGCTATAAAAATAGTTAATGTACAGAATAAAGTGCATCCTTCTCCCTCCTAATTGATTTTTTAACTAACATTTCTCTCAATTTTCTCCTAGTTATTTTTATTTAAAAACATTTTTGTTGCCATTTGTAGATTCCAAGAGTTGGCCACAACTCTCATTGACTATATTTACAACAGAACAGAACACCACCTGTTTGTGCACCCTCTTCACAATTCCTGTGTTACTTGAGCCCATTGTTGCAGCCACTGCATCCATCGGTTTGCTGAGGGATTTCCTTCTTTTCTCCGATGCCACACCTCACCAAGCAGATAGCGTGTCCAAAGCAGATGCGATTAAATCTCACCATCCAGGCTTGAAAGGAGAATTCTGGGGCTATATTTCGCAGACAGATTTGTTCTTTCTGGAAATTCATGACATGTTCAATATCTTTTGTAACACCATAATTCAAAAAGAGTAAATTGTTCTTGAATGCTCATTTTTCAATTTTCACATGCATGTGGTGACTGAAATCACCTGGCTTGGATCAAGTTCACTTTAGTCCTTAAAGCCACATGGTTAGTATTTTATACTTTCGTCAGTTCTCGTGTAGCACATTTGCTCAATACAATACCTCGGTTGGCTTTTGATTGCTGCTTCCATGACATTGATTATAGTTCCAAATAAAATCCTTGGCTATTTTAATCCATCAAAAAATAATGATGGGGCTTTGGGCTATTAATAAAAATGTTTGTTTTCCTTACATTGAGTTGTATTCCATATGGAATACTGTAGTCTTTGCTCTTCCTCATACATGCTTTCTTAAGAAATAACAGTTTTAACTTTCAGCAAGCAAGGCGGTGTTAGCTGCATATCACAGATTATTGATAAGATTTCTTCCAATACTGATGTCACATTCTTCTTGTTATAATCCATCTTCTTGGATTCTTTGCTTTGTATAAGGATTGTGCAAGTATGGTGCAAGGATATATCTTAACATGTTTTTCCACGTTTAAAACTGTTCAATATCCCTTTTCTGTTTGAACAATTGCTTCTTGTCTATGTACAAGTTCTTGTCTATGTGGTAACAATATCTTTTAGAATAATTAATAATGGACGAAGCCCAAGAAGCTGGGGATAAATGCTGCCTCCGATGCCCAACTTTTCCATGATACTATTCCTCTCTGTTTCCCCTCCTGTCCTCCCTTGAATATATTTCCTCACATTTCTGGGTTCTGCAATTCACTGCAATGTCATTCCACAGAAACTTATGAAAGTTTGTGTTGTTCAGTCCAAAATCAGAATGTCAGGAATGGGTAAGCCAGATGCTGGATCCAGAGGTGATAAAATAACACCTCCTGCTTCTTAGAGGGCTCATTTTATATGCAAGAGGATGGCATTTCAGGGAATCATGTTCACAATTACAGAGGAATTCCATCATTATCTTCTCTCACCTTCTTATCAGACTCATCCAATGACAAGTTGTTTGGTTGTAGTCAAGTTGAGTATCAATAGTGCAATCAAATTAATCTTTTTAATGATATCCAAATATAATCTTTTATTATCCACCCCTGCACTGTATTTTATTTATGCACACACAACCTGGGAACTCTGGAAAGATGTTTCCAGTAAGCATTGGCCTCCAAGTAATCTTATTCAGCTAGGCTTTCCCCAAGGCCATTCAAGAAGCTTTTTTCCTCTAAGATATAGCATATCATTCCTTATGTCATTACAAGTAACCGTAACAAGATAACCATTAAACAGAGAGTGTGGCCTGATTCACACACTTTATTAAAGTCCAGCCTTAATCTTATTCAGTTCGTTTTCAGATAATGCCCTCATTTTGACTATAATCACAGGTGTATAAAGTCCAGAATTACAATATGTGACTTAAGATATTATGGCTGTAAGGGCCATATTAGTTAATTATAGCTCAGTCTGTCATTTGCATTCTTCCCAATGTTATACATAAATTTAAAAATGGCTGTTTATTTCTATTTCTTTTGTTACCCGCTTTAGACGGCATCTACTGACTGTTTCTAGAAATAGATATTAAAACAATTTATAGATTTAAGTTATATTATAGTGCACCTTGTTAAGGTTGATGATATGAATATTGGTTATATAGTCTACCACTGAACTAATAAGCAACATCATGGTAAAAAGAGAAAATATTGAGATTTCCAAGAATTTCTTTTTACTTGAATCAAGAATCATCACTCATGGAAGTAGTGATAAAGAAATAAAACAATGTATTTCATCCTATAAGTATGCTGAAAAATACCTCTTTAAAATATTTACAAAGATGTCACTTTGTTGATAAAAGTACATCTGATTTAAGCCATGGTATCTTCCATTGTTTTATATGCATATGAAATCTGAACTATGCATGAGTAAGAGCAATAAAAAATTGATGCATTTGAATTATGGTGATGTTAAAAAATATTGAATATGCATGCCAGAGGCTGCCAGAAGACCAAACGATTCTGTGTTGGAAAAAGTATAGCCACTTAGAAATGACGATGGCACAACTTACTATTTATAAAGTTCATCTCACCTATATTGGACACTTCATCAGAATCAGTCTTTGGAGAGTGTCATCATGCTTGGCTAAGTAGAGATCAGCTAACAGAGGAAAAGCTCAACAGGATGGTTGACACAGTGGTTGCAACAATGGTTTCAAACAAACATTGCTATATTAGTGAACATGGTGTAGGACCAGACAGTGTTGTGTTGTGTTGAACATAGGATCCCTGTGAGTTGGAAATCGCATCAGGGCTTTGACCTGAGGAAGGTGGTTGCATTCCAGGTGAATTTTATTTGATTATGGAAGCTTACAACTATGATTACATTGCATTAGACCAGGTCAGTGAACATTACTAGTTGTTAACCACCAAATCACTGAGAATCCTGGTCCAGCCAAGTAGACACCAAACCTTAACCATCACCTCAAATTTAAGATAATTTAACTACCAAATCCTGACTTTATTTCACAATTAGCCTGATTTAGGCATTTTGTAGGGTAATTTTTTTCTAGTTTAACGTATATTCTAGCAACTCATTCAGTTCAAATTTAATGGCTTCCTCTTTGACCCACACACCCCCTCCCTCCCACCAGTGCCCCTTAGTTCCCATGTTTCCTTCACATCAATCTGAAGGTTCTGGATTTCTGACTAAGAAGAGATTATTGGTAAAACTTTTTGGAAAAGTCTAAGGTACTTATCTTGAAGACTCATTTATAGAACATATTAACCTATTTTAAATGCGCACTTTGGTTGAATTTTGAGGAAGCTGGTGGAGATTCTGAGAGCATACTTAAACCATCCCCGAGCCTCCTTTGGACTGCCTCTATCTAATTCCCATTTCCATCTCTCTAAAGCAGTTCTCTCAGTACTACTTTGAAGCCTCTCTGATTGTCCAGTCGGTGTGGAATTTAAAGTGTTCATGAATTGGTCTAACTGCTGTTTCTCAA